ATATAAGAATAATTTCGGCTGCCTAAATGCCGTAATTACTTTTTTATTAAGATGGGCAATTTAGGCACCCATGTATACGCATATCCAGTATATACTATATTCATTAAAATATGGGGTAAGACACAGTATTACCACAGTTTAATAATATCGTTTAAACTAATTTATATCTATTATATACTATGATATACAACAAATAAGAAAATTATGTTTTGCAATAATTTTGGCAATAATTATTCTAACACTCAAAAATAGAACTATTCTTTGTAGATATCATTCTTGTTCAACTTTAATGATAGTTTCAAAAATTTTTTTTTCATTATCATTGGTACTATCTACACACTTCCACTACCAAGTTTAGATCTATTAGAAAAATTTTATAACTGCTAATCTTTTTTTTTTCGCATTTAGAATTCATCCATCCATACCAAAAATAAAAACCATCGAAAAAATACCAATAAAAAAAAGCAAATTATACATTTTTTCATATTAAAATCATTTAGCCATTCCATATCAACAAATTCATGCGGTCTTATATGTCCAACCAACATATCCAACATATCGCTCATTGAAACAACACCAATGGGCTTATCGGTGCCCTTTTCTTTCACCCAAATTCGATGGACACCAATTGAAATTGCAGAACGCATAATTTCTTCGAGCTTTGTATCTTCAGTGCATGCAGCTACTTCTTTTGGATGAGAACGTATTTTTTGAAGGAATTCTCTGACTAATATAATTAAAATAATAAAAAAAAGAGTAAATTTAAGATTATTATTATGGTGAGGTAAATAACTGAATCAATAATAATAAATATTTGCCCGGAAGTAATCCATCGATAATATTATCGATTGTAAGAAAGCGAATATCAGATGCTGAAAGATTATCTACAAGTTTAGAGTCATTGTCAACAACGGCAATCGATGAAAGTTTATGAATAGCCTGTTAAAAAAATAGTCAAATATAACTGATTAATTTATACGTAGAATTAATCAAAATAATTTAATAGTGAAATATATACCATGATTTTGAATCCTGCAAAAGCCGACATCTCTTGAGTGATCGAAAGTGCGAAAGTCATTTTCGCTGAAGTTTCAGGTAATCTAATTTCAATAACAGACAAAAAAAAGTATAATTATGCAGCACAAAAACAAAGAATATCGATCGTGCGTAAGCTTATGAATAATGCGTCATTGTACTGTATTAAAGGTACGTACGTACCTGTGTGAAGGTTGATTTGGATCATCTTTTCCAGTAAAAGAAATCCAATTTCTTTGCATTGCCTTACTAGCTGGTAGATCAAAAGCATTATTCTGTTTAAGTGTTTCGTTATTAATCAAAAAATTAATAGCATCCCATTGCGTAATAATAATTGCTTGTCGAACTTCTCCTTCCATTTTCTCTTTTTCTTTAGCAACAGAGGACAAAATAGAATATACATTTTCTTTAGTTCCCATTACTTGAAGACAAGCAATAAGAGGTACATTTTTATGATACATTTTGAAGGAAGCTAAAGTTGTGGGATCAATAGAATTAATAACTTCTGTGATTGGGAGGTCGTAAACATCTTTTAAATCTTCTCTAATTCTATCGCCTAGCTCATATTTTCCATCGATAGGTTCATTGGTTGATACAGGAATAGTGTAAACTTTACGTAACATTAAGAATTTCACAATATGGACAACATTAATAATAGCGATAAATTTTCCCTTAATTGGATCATAAATTGGGAGAGAAATAATGTCATGAATTCTTAAAAGATTAAGAATTAAAGAAACTTTGTCGGTGGTTCTAGCGTAAACAAGTGGTTCAACAGGTTTGCGAACTTCAGAAATAAGTGCATCAAGTTTTAATTTTTGTAAAAATTCCAAAGTTAGATCTGGTGCAATTCGGCGAGAAGGATCAACGATCGGTTGTTGAGTAGCCATTTTTTTGCAAGAAAGATGAATTATTTAACGATAATGTCTCAGATTTAAAAAACTTTTTATACTATAAATTTTAGTAATTATCCTTGCGCAAAAATGACATAAAACTCTTTAATATATATATTACAGATTTTTTGCGTAAAAATGATATAAATTCTCTTCTACATAGAAATGCAGAAATGTCGTAAGTTACCATCGAGAAATATAATAAATGCATTTAATTTTACAATATATAACATGATCACTATTTTTCATATCACCAGATTTTTAGAATGTATATCAATGTTGGCATTTGGACTATGTCCAATAAAAATTTTATTTGGACTAATCCAAATAGTGACAATGTCCATATCTTTGGACATTTATCCTAATTTTTGCCTCGATCTATCCGGAATATTTTGGTTCACATGTCTGATTTGGACGAAGTCCAATAGAAAATATGGACATAGTCCATAAATATCAATGTCCAATGGTCCATATGGGTTGCCTGCCGTAATTACAACTTGTTAAAAACAATTACGGCAGGCAACTCTAGTCCATATTATCCATATCCAACATTGAATTGCATTTAAATATCCTCATCGGTACTTGACTTTCTAACCCGTCAATCGATTTTATGCAAAAAAATTTTTATATAATTCTATTAATATCGAAGTAATTATTGACAAACTGAAGCAAACCTTTAATTAGTGTTTCGGGACAAAGCTAATTTAAAAAATCTGAAATATTTCGTCAAAAGCAAAATAGGTTCACTTTAGACAAAAATATTGCTTATTTTAATTGTTAAAATTCTACTTATCGCTATTTCTAATTTTTCGGATATGAATTTTAATTTAACCGATTTTAAGGTGAATTATCTTTCCGGAATATCAGTATATTTTCATTTGTTCATAGTTGCTTAGTAATGTTAAATCATATGTCAGAAATTTTATTGATGAAAAAATTTTAATTTTTAAAATTTTATGTAAGCAATTACCCATCGATGAAAGAATGAAAATAAAATAGAAAAGAATGCTTATCAAATATACGGTTAAATGTTAGGGTAATAATTTTCATATTGTTAATCCTCGATCAACAAATGGCTGCCGTCGATAGAAATCAAGTAGATTAACATTTTTTTTAAAAAAATTAATCCTTTAACTCTCACAATTTATATCCGGATGAATTTTGAGGCTATCTTGATTAATATTCTTGATCTTAAGCTTTCTTTTGAATTTTAATTATCAAGATAACCTCAAAATTCATCGTGATATAAATTGTGAAAGTTAAGGGATTAATTTTTTTTAAATGTCAATCTGCTTGATTTCAATCGAAATCCAAAAGCATACTTCTGATTAATATCAAATTTTAGTTATAAGTATTAAAATAATGATATTTTGGGAGGTTAAACAATGACAATCTGAGAATTATGAAACAAGATTCGCGTCGATTTTAATCAATATGACGTGGCATGCACATTATGTTCGAATATGTATTTGGAAAAGTGAATTGCTAATTTCTGGAAGAAGATATAAACCTTTGGAAATAAATGTTTGTTGTTGGAGGTATCTTTGTCACTGGGTATAGTTCTTGACTATTGATAATCAAATGTAGATTAGCCAGTGCGATTTTGAGTTGAGAAACAGTGTTGTGCGCGTGTGCGGATCGCACATGAAATTTTCTTATTTGCATGTTGTAATGCGCACATATTTTCAAGCTGATACTTCATATCTATTTTAATAACAAATTTTTCTTGTTATCCTGACTCACAATACCCACGATGAGATTTTTTTCTGCATTATTATTATTAGAGAATTCCCCATTTTTGCCAAGCCACCCCAAAAATTTAAAAAGTGCTCCATAAGAGGTATTGTTATTAAGAAAAACCTCCTTTTGACCTTAATAAAAGTTGTTCATCAGGTCATTCTGGTTTTAATGATAGTAAATCATTAAAATCGGACTGATGGTTTTTTTTTTAGGAGTATACCGGGTTGGTTAAAAGTCTCTAAACAGGTCCCCTTTTTTACTATCTCCACTAAGATTTATAGTACAATTCATATCAGTATATGTGATATTGCAATGATTACCAATAATAAACATTAATAAAATGATTATTTTAATGATTAAAAAAAAGGGACCTGTTTAGAGACTTTTAACCAACCCGGTATAAAAGTTAATTAACTTCGGATATATATATCTTAGGAACTACTGGTCTGAGTGTAATGATTTTATTACCATTAGAACCAGAAAGGCCTGCTGAACAACTTTCATTAAGGTCAAAAGAAGGGTTTTCAAAAATGGGGGTGAAAATAGGGTCAGGTGGGTTAAAAACAATGTTTTTGTTGGAAGATGTGAAGAAGTGATCATTATATATATACCTTTTTACATTGACGTCTATGTAATTTCGCACTCAACGCGATTTTACCGTAAATTAGGAAAAAATACGTCTACAATTTTAGCTACGTAGTGTTCTCGTTCCGATCAGACTTTTATTCGGATTGGTCAATGATAATCTAATGCAGATTCAGACTTTTTTAAAAAAATCGACACGCTAATAACAAACGTAATTTTTAAGTAATTATCCATAATAAGAAAATCATCGGATCAACCGTTTTTGTCTTGTGATGCAAAAAAATACAACTCGTATGATAACGATAAGGTTCCCAACTTTTATCGTTATTCTTTAAGAATGTTACTACCTGTGTCTCGAGTAGTAACACGCGTTGCCGCTTGTCGAGGAGGCTCTTTGTTTCGCAGTTTTGCTTCGGCGTCTTCCTCAGATTCTGTCAAGCACACACTTCCTAATACTTCTTATAAAGCTTATGAATGCGATCCACCTCCACTCGAAATTGAAGTAAAAAAAGATGATGCGCTTCAATTATATAAAGATATGGTTTTAATGCGCAGAATGGAAACTACTGCTGACAATTTATACAAGATGAAATTGATTAGAGGTTTTTGTCACTTGTGTACTGGTCAAGTAAGTATTTATATTTGGTCAAAGACTTTCATTTTTCAAATTATCATTTTTATCCTAATTGTAATTATAATTATAATTAATGAATGTATTTATTAAAGGAAGCAATTCCAGTGGGTATGGAGCATGCTATTACGCGTGATGATGCGATCATAACTGCTTACCGTTGTCATGGTTATACTCTGATGCGCGGCGCAACAGTTCATCAAATTCTTTCTGAACTTATGGGTAGATAAATATTTGACAGAATTAGCTATTATTATTTTTTTTTTCTAGATCGATATTTATCACCAAATTGTAGGTCGTTCTACTGGTATTACCTATGGAAAAGGTGGATCTATGCACATGTTTGCAAAAGGTTTTTATGGCGGTAATGGTATTGTTGGAGCGCAGGTATATATTATTTATATTAATATATATATTATTTAATTATAATTTATTCTTTATTTAATATGTATAAATACATTATTTTGTAGGTTCCAGTTGGAACTGGCATAGCTTTTACTCAAAAATATTTAGGTGTAAAAAATGCCACATTCATTATATATGGTGATGGTGCAGCCAATCAAGGTCAAGTGTTTGAAGCTTTTAATATGGCAAAATTATGGGATTTGCCTGCCATATTTGTTTGTGAGAATAATTTATATGGTATGGGAACTTCTGCTGCAAGGAGTTCTGCAAATTCGCAATATTATACTCGAGGTCAATATATTCCAGGTCTTCAGGTATGTACTTTAGTATTATTATTATCAATTACTAATTATTCTTTATAAATTATCATATTTTGAATTTAATAATTAAACATTTTATTAATTAATTATCAGGTAAATGGTATGGATGTATTAGCAGTAAAGCAAGCATGCGCGTGGGCAAAAGATTGGACTGTAAACGGTAAAGGGCCAATGGTATTGGAATTTGTAACGTATCGATATGGAGGTCATTCTATGTCAGATCCTGGTACAACTTATCGTACACGTGAAGAAATTCAACACATGAGAAGTACGAATGATCCTATTACTGGTTTGAGATTAAAAATTTTAGAGTGGGAGTTTGCGGATGAAACCTATCTAAAGGTTTGTTCAAGAATCTTATTTACATATAATACTTTATTTTAATTATCATAAATTAATTTTCTTTAAATTCCAGCAATATGAAAAAGAGGCTCGTGCAATCGTAGATGAGGCAGCTGAAAAAGCAAAGAATGATCCACTTCCTAAGGATTCTGAGCTCTGGACTGATGTATACGTCAGAGGCTCAGAACCTGATTCCATCAGAGGGAGAGAATGTGAGGAGATCGGCGTTATGCGTTAGTTATTACATGTTTGAATTAAGGGGTGTTATGATTGAGGTAGAAGGATCCTGAATAGTTAATAACTGTATCAGGAGTCTCAGGATAAATATATATGTTTTAAATGTTATATTTAAGGTACAGTTGAGAACAGTGAAAAACTTTTGTTAAAAAAAAAATACGCCAATTTCATATGTGGCCTACATAAAACTAATAAAGATCGTGAAAATAAAATAATATATGTAAATTAAATTAATAAGGAAAATGTTAAATGGTGCACTTTCTTTGTATAAATTAAATAAGTATAATATTAGAGTTAGAATTAGAATTAATGTTAAGATTATGGTTGCCTTATTAGTAAAATTGTACAAGGAATGTTATTAGTCACAACAGGGATTACCCTAGTAAAATTTTGCAATATTGTCAAATAATTCAAATAAACTATTATTAAAGTTAGAATTGGAGTTAGAGTTAGGGTTAAAGTTGGGTTAGGCTTAAAATTGTGTTTTTATTAGTTACACAACAGGGGTTATCTTAATAAAATTTTGAGATACAGAGGGGGTGCACCAAATGCATGGTGCACCGTATAGTAGCTTCCATTAATAAAATTTAATAAAATTTCAATTTATAAATTAATGTATGTATATACTGATTATATGTGATATGAAATATAAGAAAAATTTTATGAAGCCACTTTTTTGTAAATAGTTGACCAAAATTTAAATTTTATTTGGTAGTTCTTCCTCTCTAGAGTAAGCAACAAAGTATAAAAGTAAGCAATGGTATGTATTTTTATCATTTCTCCGAATAGATATATTTAATAATTTTGCTACCTTATGCGATTATGAAGTACCCACTTAAAACTACTATATGACGTAAGCAACGAAAGTGATAGCACGTTTTCGTCAAAAAATGTGCATAAGAAAGATTACGAAAATCTCTTAATTTCATTTTTCATTTTTCTGCATGCGACCTGTATCACGATCCTGACCCATCATTTCCTTCATTCTTTTGATCATTACTTCCCCCGGGACTATTAACGAACTGAACGCTATAACTACCACTATTTGGATCTTTTTCCGTTTTAAAATTATCGGTTGATAATCCAAACATGCCTAAAAACTTGTCTCCTACGTCTTTTAATTTACCAATCATTTCATTTTTTTCTTTTTCTTGTAGTATGGAAATTTGAGGAGGTAAACGTTGAATTGAAGTGTTCACTTGTTTACGCGTTTGAGAGTTTAGGGTTGAAAAATGAGAAGACGTTGATTGTAGTGTTTTATAGTCTGCAGAGCCATGAATAAAAAAGAATATTGAAGTAAGGATGATGATGGATTGAAATAATATATAAAAGTAAATCTAAATGTAAATCTATAAACCTTCAAGCGCAGATGTTAATGATGAAAAGGTATTAAGCTTTTCATTAGATTGGGCTCTACGTAATAAAGCTTTCGTATATGTTGGAGAATCTTCAAGCGCTAATATTATATATAATAAATTAGAAAATGTAAATTCTTCCTTCAATTATAACAAAAGTCGACCTAACCTTTTGTACATGAATCTACGGCATCCTTATATTTTTCCTAATTATGACAATGTAAATAAAATGGGTTCAATTTATCTATTATATGTTATTATTTGTCGGATAGTGAAAGAATTCTGTAATCTTTATTTTTCACTTCTCGTCCGATCCTACCATTTACATTACCAATTTAAAATAGCATGCTCCGATATTTCCCCAATAAATAGCTCGTTCATCCTTTTTTTCATCCGGACAGGTATCCAAAGCCTTTTCATACTGTATAATAGCTTCATTAAATTTCATCTTTGCGAAATAATCATTTCCTGTTATTTTATAAGAATTAGCTAATTCTACTAATTTTTCAATTTCTTCCGGCGTGAATTTCGGTTTTGCTTCAACAATTTCTTGTTCTGAAACAACATTACTTTCAGACGTTTGATCTAATGTATAAAATAGTCGGTTTTCAGTTTGAAAAAGTAATATATGCATATATTCACTGATTATAAATAACCTTGAATATTGTTTTCAAAAGTCGTCATTTCAATCGATAAGATGTTTTCTTGAGCACAAGTGATATTCGTTATTTTATTATCCAAAAGGTAACAATTCGATTGGTTGGAAATTATATAATAGAAATAATCTTAAACATCACCGCATAAAAAAATTATTTCATGTGAAAATAAAAGTTTGTTATACAAATTAATATAAGTACAACTAGATAACGGGAATATTGAGCAAAGCCAAGGAAAAGTATTATCATTCATAATTATATAGCATTTACTCCAAAGTAATTTATAAGAAAAAATGAATTTGAATGTATAGTAATAAATATAATAATTAAGATCTTATATAATCAACGAATGGCATTATTTTTGCTCTCCATCCTTGCTGTCCTAATACACAGTACATTGTTAGTGTTTCGATCCTATTTTTGACAGCCATCCAGATTCTATTAAATCCGGATTTAATTCGCATTAGCGTTAGATTATATACAAAGCTAGTTTTGGGCGCATCCGTTATTCATTTCTATGACCAATCCTATATTTGAATTATCTGTATTGAGGGATCAATACGGAGATCATACACATATTCAGTGTTGTCATTTGGTTGGCCATTGGCCGAAAAGGGCAAGAAAATTATTTGCCGAATTTTTGTATAGCAAAGCTAGTAATATGATTAATATTACATAAGTTGGAAACTTTGACCAAAGTTGGCTATTGGTCAATTGGTCAAAAAGTTACCAACACTGCACACAATATATACAGAGAATCGTTTGATAAATATAATTCTTCTGTTTACTCGATACATTTGATTGTAGGGCATGAATATCAACTCTATTGTAATCGGAATAGTTGGATAGAACTCCGATAGAGGTTACATTGAAATTTTGACTAAAAAGGTTACCTTTTTTTACAAAAATGTTATATTAAGCTATTAACGTTATTAAAAGTAAATAAAATTGATCAGTTTTAGGGTGTTCTCAAGCTGCACGCTCGATGTGACTAGCTAGTGATCGTAATAGTGCACAACCTCTATGGCGTTATTAATTAGACCATTTCTGAGAACCGATAGTATGGATGTTGAGGACCGATAATACGGATGATCATATGATTGAAATATGCTCACATATCTACCTCATTGTGATTAATTTATGATCGTGTTGATGCTCAAGTATTACAATAAATAGAATATTGATCGAAATTGATGCTTG